TGGACCGGGGCTGTAGGGCTGCGCCGGAGGAGGCGTCTGTTTGAGACACAACGGACCGGGCTCGAGTCCCGACGCCTGAGCGGACGAGGAGCAGGTGGAGCAGTCGACGGGACAGCCAGCGGCGCCGGACGTGGAGAGTGGCGCGCAGAACAGAGACGATGATGACGACGACGGCGGCGGCGGCGGCGGTGTGGAGGTGAGACTGGAGCTCGTCTGTGGCAGAAGACCGGGCGGGAATGGTGCCGCGAAGGGAGGGCAGGCCTCGCCGCCACAGACGGGAAAAGCGAGAGACAGCGGAAAGCCGGGCCTTAGTAGGCCCAGGCTCGAGTCCGGCCCGCCGGAGACGGCCGTCCGGAGGAAGTCGTGGCTGGGGCTGCCGTTGGCCGACTTGGCGGCACCATCGCCTCCGCCGACCGACGGCCTCGTCGACGCGCTCGACCGGTTGGATCTGCGAACCGAGGCCCGATGACGCCGTGTTGATGCCGTCTTTGCCAGACGGGCCTGGAAGTGTGGCCTCAACCGCGGCTGCACGAGTCCGCTCGACGTCTTCAGAATTGGGTCTACCTCCAAGTCACTCTCGCTCCGCTTGCGCTCCCCTCCGGCTCCGCTTGCTTCCCTCCCGTCTAATTGCTCCTCCTCCTCCTCATCATCATCATCTTCACCTTCCTCCTCCTCCTCGTCGACCTCTACCTCCTCGTTCTCCTCCTCCTCATCCTCCTCCTCTTCCTCCTCCTCCTCCTCCTCTTCCTCCTCTTCCTCTTCCTCCTCCTCTTCCCCTCTCTCCTCCTCGTCATCCTCGTCTTCATCCCAGAATCCGGCTAACTGACCTCCATCACTTTTGGCGTCGACCAACGAGAATGTTGCTTGTTTCCCGGCCGCCGACGTAAAAACACATGTCGAGTTGGCATCGTCAGGCCTCACTAAACTCGGAGTCTTCAGGGAGTAGTCCACGGACGACGTTATTCCCGACGAAGACATCAAGAACTCGTCGGCTTCTTCATCACTCTCGGAATTGCACAAGCGTCTGTGGTTGTGAAGCAAATATTACAAAATTAGTATTATTAAATTATACAAGCAAAGTTATGAAGGCCAAGATGTTGTCGCGTTTAGCATGGCTACGGTCTCCTTCCGTTGTATAAAATTTGTTTGACCTCGTTTTCGCAAACTCGTCATATTGCCAGTTAGACCTGGAGGATCGCACCTTATCCAGAGTCCATAGTATCCATAATAATTTCCAGAGTCGATGCCGGCGAAATATCTGGAAATCTGCCAAGTCGACGGTCCTAATCTGAAGACTCTGGACAAGATGCGATCCTCCAGGTCTTCCTGGCAATATAACCAAATTCCGAAACAAGGTCAAACAGATGCTATAGTATATTATATTTAATTATATTATCATAAATCCAGCAGTGCAAACATCTCATCTCATCT